TATATATATATATATAAATTTTATTTAAATTAAGCCTAGAGAGGCAAAGTAATAAGTTCAAGTGATATGTTCAAGGGCACAGCTAGAAAGTGGCTGAGCAAATATTTAGATATTAAACATAGAGAGGCAAAGTAATAAGTTCAAGTGATATGTTCAAGGGCACAGCTAGAAAGTGGCTGAGCAAATATTTAGATATAGGCTTTTGTTACTTAATAAAGGAGGCATGATTTGAGGCTGTCTGGCTCCAAAGACTATGTTCTTGACAGTGTACCCGCTAAGGCAATACTGTTACAATTCTCATTTTAAGTTAAGTATAAGTGCTATTAATTTGGTACCTGAGAAATAGCTCCAGCTGTTACTGGTAAATTAACATCATTTTCTTCTGATGTCCCAAGTGTTGAAGGAAAACCAAGGTTAGAATTTGAAAGCAACTCCAATTCTCCTAAACTCATTGGACCATGACTAGCACATGAATCTTCATAAATACCACCTATAATGAAATATGTGGGGGAAAAAAAGAACAAATAATTAACTAAAGCTACCAATATATTTCATCTACTAAATTAGGAGTAACAGTAAACTTCAACCAAAAATACCTGGTGTACATCTTCACTGCAATTAAAACCAAAGCTTATAGAAAATGCACAAGTACGCAGGTTAAAATAAAACTCTGTAATATTGTAAGGTTCCAACAGACAAGATGCCCTCACAGTCTCGCATACTAACTCATAACACCTCTTTGTTTAATCACTAAGAGTCAATAGACTACTTTCTATCTTAGTGTGATCTTAAAGCAAGGACAATTTCCTGGCTAGAAAATGTCAGTACTGTTTAGCTCTGTTCTGCAGACATTTTTCTTCCAATGATCAATCTCCTCTTTTTTTTCCATCTAAATGGCATCTTAATCAAGTCAATAAAAAGAAGACAATAAGAGAAGAGATAGCTATGTATCTAATAACAACATCCCTGTACATTTGTACTGCAGTTTATACTCCAACCACTTTCTCATATTTTACTTTATTTAATTTGAACTTCCAATCATTCTATAATGTAAGCAGGTCAGACAGTACTATAACCTTTCACTGACAAAACTAAGGTTCAGTGATGTTAACTGTACAAAAATTAGAGTTAGTAAAAGGAACAGGAATTAAAATCTGTATCTTCCAACTCCTAGTCACTGTTCTATATTTCATATTAAAATATTTTTAAGAAAATAAACTGCTTTTTGAGGGCTGTCAGGTGGTGGGGTGGTTAAGGTACTGGACTCCCACATTGCCAACCACGGTTCGAGTACTGGACCTGGTAGCTTGCTTTCTCACTTTCCCTTTCTCTCTCTCTCTGGTCAAATTAATAATAAAAAATAAACAACAACAAAAAAGAAAATACTGTTTTTTGGGGATCAGCTGGCATACTGGCTAAGGCACCGGATCTCACATGATCGATTTCATGGTTGGAGTCCTGGATTTGACAGTTTGAAAATCATGCTGTGCATGTGTGTGTGCCTAAAATCCTGAGAAGAGAATGGAGAAGGGACTGAAGCATAGCCATCCCCCCTGGGGAGTGACATCTCACTCACTCTCTCCCTCTGTCTGTCTAGTAAGTGCACATACCCTTTATTAAAAATCTAAAAAAGAAGGGAACCAGCAGTTAGCATAATGGCTATATCACTGGACTCCCACCTAGTCAACCGCAGTTCAAGTCCTGGACCCGGTGGCTTAAAACTCACGCTGGGCGCATGTGCGTGCATGCCCAAGATCCCAAGAGGAGAATGGAGGAGAAGGGATTACGGCGTGACCATCCCCCCTGGGGGGTGATTTCTC